AGGAATGGACTAAAAGAGGAAACTAGTAAGCAGAAGATAATTTTTTATGGCTGGGAAAACGCATTCTTAAAATTGGTGACTGCATAATAAATCATGTCTGTGTTCAAATGATTGTTCATCTAAAAGTTTCTCAATTAATACCCACCCATCATATCATTTTTTTCTCCTCTGTGTTCTAACATTTGAATCCCTTGAGACTGAGCAGAGTATCTCTTTCTCAAGGAAGAGTTTCCCGTATTCGGCAATCTCAAGTAGGCAATTGAGATTGAGAGAGAGAAAAAGTTGTCTCCCTTTTATCATGTGTATAACTTCACCAAACCTGTATGCAATGTGTGGTGATATTTGTTTATTTACCGCTTTTCTTGCAAATATGAATTTACACTTTTTATCATACCATGTATAAAATATCTACAAATAGAAAATCAGACTATTTTTATTTACTGCATATTTACCCTTTTATTGACCTTCATTACGTTTTACATTTCTGGGATCATTTTCTTCCCATCCAAAGACTTTTCTTTATGTGATTTGTCTTCAGTGTCGGTATAGCTGACAACATATTTTCTCAGTTTATGTTTGCATTTGAATGTCTTCAAATTGCTTTCACTTTTAAATAATATTTTTGGTAGCTGTAGAATGTGAGGCTGGTAGTGGTTATTTTTGTTTTCCCCTAGCACATTAAAAGCATCAACTTAATATCTTTTGGTTTTCATCATTTATCTTGCAAAATAAGCTTTCAGTCTTGTTGCTGCCCCTTTGGTTGTAATGTGTCTTATTTCTCCCAATATTTTTAAGATCTAAAAATACATTGTTTTCTCTCCTTATTCTCTTTGGTCAGTTATGTTATAATGTAGCTAAATGAATTTTCTTTATATTTATATTGCTTGGAGTTCTTAGAACTTCCTATACCTGTAGATTATTATATTTTATCAGTTATGAAATTTTAGGCCCATTGTCTCCTCAAAAATTGCTTTTGCCCTATTATTTATCTCTTCTCCTTCTGTGAATAAAGTTGCATTTATGGTAGACCTTACAAGACCCTACAGTCTTTGTGTGCTCTTCACCCTTTTTCTTTCTTCTTCATGTTTAAATTCGGATATATTCCATGAACTTATATAGTCCAACACACTAGTGTTATTTTTAGCATTATTCAACTTATTCAGCTCCTAAGCTCAATCACTACAGTTCCGGAATTTCCACTTTATTCTTTTTTGTTGATTTTAGTTCTCTGGTAAAACTTTCCATCTTGTCATACATTTTTAAAATGATCTTAATTACAGTTATTTTAAAGTTCATGACTAAAATTTCAAAACTTTTCTCACTTATGGTTTCTTTTTTGTATTTTCTTTTAGTCTTATTCTTAGGCATTCTTAGGTATGCTTGTCAACCTTGGCTTAAATTAATAGACATCTGTATAAAAAAAATGAATATACTTTAAATAATGCCATCTTCCTTCAGAGCAGATTTACCCTGTTCTCCAGCAGGAAGCAGAGGAGCAGGGCACTTCAATTCAGTCAGGGACTGAATTGGCTCTAGTCTGAATTGACTCTGTGCTGAGTTACAATCTGTATTAGTCCATTCTCACACTGCTGGGAAGAAATACCTGAGACTGGGTAATTTACAAAGAAAAGGGGTTTAATTTACACTTCCACCTGGCTGGGGAGGCCTCAGGAAACTTACAATCTTGGCTGAAGGCAACTCTTCAAAGGACAACAGGAGAGAGAATGAGTGCCCAGCAAAGATGGAAAAGCACCTTATAAAAACATTAGATCTCATGAGAACTCACTCATTATCATGAGAACAGCATGGGGCAACCACTCTCATGATCTAATCACCTCCTGTGAGCTCCCTCCCCCAACATGTGGGGATTACTATTTGGACTACAGTTCAAGATGAGATTTGGGTGAGGATGTAAAGCCAGAATATATGACCATCTTTGTAATGATTATTCTCTAATTTTTCCACTCCCAGCTTACAGCTCTCAAAGGTTTCAAACTAAGAGTTGGAGGTTTCTTAAGATATACCCTCATTGCTAGGACCTGAAATATAACTTTTGATTCCCAAGCAATGCAGCATAATGATTGTGCAATGATTTTTAGTTACCTTGCTCCTTTTTATCCTCCTGTCTTGTGCATCTTATGCCATAAATGCCTTGTGGGAAGAACCAATGCCCAATGTTGAGCTGACTTCTCTAAGTCTGTTTTCTCTCTGGATTTTATCACTTCAAATCCAGACTCCCATAGCACCATAGATTTCCCTCCCTCCCTTCCTTCCTTCCTTCCTTCCTTCCTTCCTTCCTTCCTTCCTTCCTTCCTTCCTTCCTTCCTTCCTTCCTTCCTTCCTTCCTTCTTCTCTCTCTCTCTCTCTTCTTTCTTTTTCTTTCTTTTTTCTTTCTGGCTGTTTGACTTACTGATACTGATAGCTCTGTAATCTTTTTTAATCTTAGTAGAGACTTGTTGTCTAGCTCTTATCTCCTGCTATCTTCCAATAATTAACCATTGTCCTGAGGGGAAAGAAGAGGCAAAAAATGGAGATCATCTCACTAAGCTTCATCTTAAGCGATACTTGCTTTATCAATTTCTAATGCATTCCAACAAAACTTGTAAATTTTTAATGACTTTTTTGCTTTTTCTTTTTAGGAATGCTAGCTGAGTACAAACTATTCCATCATAATCACAATGGAAGTCGATATTTTGTATCACTTTTAATGTAAAATGTAGCCATTTATGTATTTCTGATTATTTCACTAGTCTTATTTGTTTAATAAATTGATAAACTGTATTCTTCTTTGATCATCAGTCTCTTGTTCAATGACTGGCAAACCTGAGCAGCTGACCCCATTGATGCTGTCTCTGACTACCCTACTTTTATAGACAACTCTCTCCTGTCTAGTTCATCTACAATAATTTAGTCATTCTCTTTTTGTATTGTATATTTGAAATGTTTTATTTATGAACTGTGGTTATTTCATTGTAATACCATTTTGATTAAGACAGTCATCCATTCTGTTTTGTTATATTTACTTTCCAGTTTACATCAATATATATGTAAATAGTATATTATATATAATATATATTTATACATAAAAATAGTGAGATAACTGATAGCAAATTAGATTTTTAGAAAATCAGTTTAGATCTCTCACTATACACCAAAAAACTCCAGATTAGTGGATGATTTAAAAAATGAAATCATAATATTTTTAATGTGAATTAAAAGCAAATTAGAATGTAAAAGGGCCAGACGAAATATGGATATTTAAAACCTATTCAGTAGAAAATTTTATTCCAATTTTTAAAAATGCTATGTCAAATAAATGGAACTAATAGGAAAAACATATAAAATATCTAGAAATAAAAAAAGTGTAACTAATATAAAATCAAATACCAAACCATTTTAAGGTCTAAAAATAGTTTTAATACTATGCAATACTATATTGCTAGAAAGAAATATTTAGTACACTGAAATTAATTGTAGGAATTTTAAAATACATAATTTTATTCAATGTTGTTCACACACACACACACACACACACACACACACACACACACCCCTTAAACTCTCCAAAAGATATTGTTTTAAGAAAGAAGCAAATAAAAAACTTAGGATATTTTTCCTAAATCATTATAATAAAAATTATACTTCCAATTATATGAAATGCCTATAAAATAAACAATCACTTTTTCCAAATGTGTATACTACATGGGTCTATAACAATATCTTAAGAAAGGACAAATTAATGAGAAAAAAGTCTTTATCACCAAAATATAATTTCTGATATGTAATAATAAGTAATAAAGAAGGTATCACAAATTAGTGGGTAGGAAAAAAGTTAATAATAATAGATGTTTTCTTCAAATTTTAATTAACATTATTTTTCAGCAATAATATTAAAATCGGTTAAATGATTCCTTGCTGTCTTTCAACTGGTCACATTTTTTTTGTTGTTGTTAATATATTTGTAATACTATTTGATGTGATGAGTTATAGTATTAAATTTACTAACTTTTTTTTTTTTTTTTTGACAATGAGAAGAGGAAAGATTTTCTGTTTATAATAACCAGAAAGAAATGGAATTGTCTAATAATCATCAGTTGAGTATGAGCCTAGTAGGGGATGCTAATCTTCCGGGGTGGGGAAGTCTTGTGAGCTAACCAAACCCTCCTGGTCTCTGGTGAGGTCAACAGGTAGCAGTTTCCTGGTTGCCTAGTAACAAGGGACCGTGTTTAGGGGTGGGGTGGGGTGAGGTATGTTGGGGAAGGGGGCCTTCACTTGGCAAGTGAAATAACACAATTCTCAGGAGTTGAAAAAGAGGCAATCTTCAAACAGTGCTGAGAAGTCCTCTTACTTTTTCCACATTAGGGGAATGCAAACTGGTTTAACCTCACATGACACTTCCTTTTTTGTTCGTTTTTTTTCATTTGATTGGTTTGAAAATTATCCTGGATCCAGGAAGGTGATGCCTTTTCTTATTCTCCTTTTATCATCAAACCAAACAGCCAATGTGTCTCTAGAGACATTGCATTCTAAACTGAATGTGCTGACAAGCCTTCATCCCAGACCCTGAGTGGCAAGTTTTCATGAAAATCAGCTTCTGGGCCAGTTAAGTCTTCATGAAGTTATCTTTTCATAACTCAGCCCTCATTCCCCTCCGGGTCAGTAGTAGTGGAACCAAGAAACCCACGGGCCAGATTTCCTTACTCAATGAAGGCACTCCAGGAAGAAGGGGAGTTCCCGGTACCTGCCTGCCAAACTCCGCTCTACTTGCTGGACTTTGCTCAGCATGAACAGGCCATTCTGGCTACAAGTTCCCCCAAACCATCCCAGATTGTACCTTTAAGGCACACCAATTCCTCTGGATAAGGACTTCTGTTCATGATGAGTTATGTTAATTATTCTTAACATTCAAAAGAGAAAGTTCTGCATGAAAGCCCACCCCTGTCCAGCCGTTGTGCCCTGAGATCCCGATACTGTGAGGATGAGGGCAGAGCCAATTCACATCAGGGATTCTGGTCATTGGGATCACACTTGAGCATGATTTAAAACCCCAATCCCTTTTTAAATGTTTCAAAGGCCTCCAGAGCTTTCTCCAGAGGAAATCTATGGGTGACAAGGGGTTTTATGCTCACAGACTTGGACGGAAGCATCGAAATCGCCACTGGCCACGCGTTGCAGTATCGAAACACGTCCTTGATATCCACCTCCTGGAGGGCTGCATGCACTAGGGGTATGGTGGTCATCTCAGAGCCCAGCCCCACAAGCACCAGGGTCCCACCAGAGCGAGTGGCGTAGATGCCCGCCTGGATAGAGGCCTCTGCCCCTGTGCACTCGATGGTGACTTCCGGCTTGTACCCCAGCAGACCTTCTACTTTACCGGCGATTTCCTGAGGACTCTCCTTGGAGATCTGGAGGACTAAATCAGCCCCAATCTCCTTGGCTTTGGACAACCGGGGAGCAGACAGGTCAGTCACCACTACTTGAGCTGCTCCCATTGCCTTGGCCGCGAGCAAAGAGACCACCCCGATTGGCCCAGCTCCACACACAAGGACCCTGTGTCCCAGGGTAACTCCACCTCTCCTGCAGGCGTGGATCCCCACAGAAAGTGGCTCAATCAGGGCGCCTTCCTCAAAGGTGACATTGTCAGGAAGTTTGTAACAAAAGGCTGCATTGTGCTTGTAGAACCGGCAGAGGTTTCCGTCATCGGGGGTGTGGCACAGAAGAAGATGGAAGGTGACAGGTTGTATCGGCCTGACTTGCAAAATTCATCATTTTCTCGGGGAGCACCAGGCTCGATGGCAACACGATCACCTGGTTTTAGGTGCTTTACCAATGATCCCACTTTTTCGACCGTTCCTGAAGCTTCATGTCCCAACACCATGGGCTTTTTCACGATAAAATTCCCAATTCGACCCTCCTCCCAGTAGTGGACATCTGAGCCACAGATTCCAACAGAATGCATCCTCAGCAACACCTCATTTGGGCCTGGTTCGGGGATGGGATAGTTCTCCAGGTGCAAGTCCCCTGGTCCGTGCACCACCAGGGAAAGGTTCTTGGGCTTGGCCGCCGCCGCCATGGAACTCTTTTGGCTCTCGGGTGCGGCCTGGAAGGCGCGGGAGATTTGGTCTCTCTGGTGGCGCTGCCCAGCCGAGGGTCCGGGGAGACTAGACTAACATTTTCTTTATACTTTTATTCATCACATAAAAGCTGCATAACAATAGCGACTTTTAAAATGCACTATTGAATGCTGCTTTCTTCTTTTTTTCTGTTGTGGTAAGAAAACATGAGCTTTACTTTCAGCAAATGTTTAAGTAGACTGTATAGCATTGTTACCTATAGGTACAATGTTATACAGCAGATTTCTATATCCCACTTATCTTGTATAACTGAAACTTCATACCCATTGATGTTTTCTAATTTTTGTTTGAGTTTCATATTTTGTGCCTAAAATTATCCTGTCTGTAACTTACTTTTCTGTGCTACAACTGTTAGTTCTTATAATCTATTGTGTGTACTATATGAGCAGAATAGAATAGGTTTTGAGCTATTTCTTTTTCTTTTTTTCTTTATTATTATTATACTTTACGTTCTAGGGTATATGTGCACAACGTGCAGGTTTGTTATATATGTATACATGTGCCATGTTGGTGTGCTGCACCCATCAACTCGTCATTTACATTAGGTGTATCTCCTAATGCTATCCCTCCCCACTCCCCCCCGTAGGCCCCAGTGTGTGATGTTCCCCTTCCTGTGTCCAAGTGATCTCATTGTTCAATTCCCACCTATGAGTGAGAGCATGCAGTGTTTGGTTTTCTGTTCTTGCGATAGTTTGTTGAGAATGATGGTTTCCAGCTGCATCCATGTCCCTACAAAGGATACGAACTCATCCTTTTTTATGGCTGCATAGTATTCCCTGGTGTATATGTGCCACATTTTCTTAATCCAGTCTGTCACTGATGGACATTTGGGTTCTTGAAAACTCATTCAGTATCTGTAACTCTTTATTTGGGAGCATTTATGGATAATACCATCTAAACACAGAACAAGTTTTCTAGAATAATCCTTTAATGATTTTCTCAATTTTCTTCCTTGTTACTGGCATTAAATTAGGTCAAAAATAGCCTCTGTACATAGCAAACTATAACATAACAACATGTAAACAAACTGCAACTTAGCTGAGGTTTTAAGTGTTCTTGTAACAAGTAGCTGAGTGTTGGCCAATCACGGTAGCTGAGATTCAGCTAACCACAGGCTGCAAACTTCTCATATGTATCTAAATAAGGCAACGGTAGAGCTGTAACCAATCAGGCTCTTACGGTATGTCACTTTTCTTTGTCTTAAAATATTACCTACCTACATTGCTGGGTGGAGTTGTCTGAACTTTTAGTGGTTCAGGGTGCTGGCCATTTCATGAATCATTTCTTTGCTCGAATAAACTTTGCTAAATTTAACTTACCTAAAGATTTTTTTTTAACATTGGATTTTATTCAAATTTAAATTTTTTGTTTTAAAAATTTTGGTAATTTCTAGTTTCTACAGAGTTATCCTTTACACTAAAAATTGTATCTTACTGACACATAAAACAGTATTTTCTAAAATTTTCCATTACAAAGAAACCTGTTTTATTCTAGGTATCCTCATTATCTCTAATTTTGTCACTTTTCACATTTTTTTCCTTTGGGCATTATGCTGATTAAAACAAAACAAACTAAGACTGAAGAAAAAAGTATGTGTGTCCAATTTTGCCCAAAGAACTTTAACAGACTTAGAGTGAAGTTAGAGAGCATGGATTATCCTCAGCTCCCCCAGTGAACCCGTGTTGATGGAGTCTTCATTTCTGATATGGAGCTGGAAGTTAGAGTCATTTGTTTAGTATTCCACACTTCTTGATTTTCAGTAGGTACAATATTTGAAAAAGAAAAAACTTCTTGCTCTGGGGCTCTAACATAAGCAATATAAAGTAAGATCAGTAAAGCTGAGGCTGATTCGTGAAAGCCCTGGTATTTTATACCACAGGTAAAAAATGCCTAAAGAATACTCAAGCACAAGTATCAAGTACAATTATAAGTACCAATATAAGGCCTTGACCTAGATTCTCTTTCTACCAGCAGCAGTTTATTTCCTGGTATTGTATAATTGTGCATCTCAAATGGTTCTCTTCCCTGTCACTGCTGCTTATCTTTTTTTATTGCCCTTCATCCCATATGGCATCTCTATTATATGTTGCTCATTTTGTTCTCTCTTTCCATCCTCCTCTAACTTCTACCATCTCTCTGACCAGTCCAGCTCTATTTTGCTGATTGCGTGTCTTCAATGCCTCTTAATTGAGGGCTATCTGTGTATGTGACCAACATTTCTCTTTGAGATATATGGTTTTAGTTTAAAGAAGCCATTAGTATGAGCTTTCTTAATCCTATCTTTATCTTTTTTTTTTTTTCCTTCTTAAACTTATCTACCTAATGTGGGGTTTGTTGAAACCACTCCAAATATCTGAATTTTTTAAAAAAAGTATTTCTAAGAATTTGTCATGTAGAATGAGAAACGGGAAGGTAGTAAGGGAAGGTTTTAGTGCCTGGAAATCTCAATTTAGAATTTAAACTTTATCTGGAAATATATTTCTCATTATATAACTATGCTAAAGCTTTTTCTCTCTGAATGTCAACAAGAGTAAACTCTGAAAAAATGAAGATGGAGAAACAGAGACTACTGTGGTGCAACAGCAGATATTTTGGTCTAAGCTCAAATAAATAAATACATAAATATCTGATGCTGTCCTATTTTGAAAACAAAAATAATTTTTAGCAAAGAATAGTAGGGAAAAAAAACACCAGAGACAGAAACACTATGATCGAAACTACTTTAGTGACCAGAGTACGGAAAACAGGCAATCAGCTATACACAGGGGAGTTTGAGATTGCAGAAGAGCGTTATAACCTCACTCTGTTATTTCTAGAAACCTATTGAACTAAGGCCATATTCCTTGATAAAATCTTGTCACCATTAAAAAAATAAATAATTAAATTGAAAACATAATACAGATCATAAGCATAATCGGTTTCTTTAATAAGTGCTACTGGATCCCAGCCAATTAACTCTAATTTTAAAATTATTGAGTATAGTTAAGTGAATGCTGAGCATTACAATTATTTCAGCAGCTCCTCACTTCCATGAATACTGAATAAACTACACAGGATTTTCCATGCAATTATGGGTGGAAAAGATCTAGAGATAATGTAACAAACATGCCAACATTTAAATATTGGTGGCTTGATACTGGCAAGAAATTATGGATGTAAAATTTTAGTTACCATTTCAAATGGAAATAATATGTGATATGGAAAAGAAAAAAGAATGTAATATGACAGTTTAAACATTTAATTAATTTATTTAAAATGTGAATTTGATTTCTTCTCTGATATGTTTATGTTGGGTTCCAAAATTGAAGATAATGTAAATAAAGCAATTAGCAATGCAGCCAGAACAGAGACCAACTAAAACTTTATTATTATTATTATTATTATTATTATTATTATTGAGATGGGGTCTTGCTATGTGGGTCAGACTGGAGTGTAGTGGCTATTCATAGGTTTGGCCATAGTGTACTACACCCTTGAACTCCTGGACTCAAGTGATCCTCCTACTTCAGCCTCCCAAGTAGCTGGGACTACAGGTGTGCATCACTGTACCTGGCTCTAAATTTCTATTTCTTGATGATGGGTAGTTATATTCCTCTTTGAGAATCTTATTAAAGTTTTGTGTTGCAGGAAGTCAGGGACCCCAAATGGAGAGACTTGCTGAAGCTGTGACAGAAGAATGTAAAGTGTGAAGATCTCATGGACATTTATCACTTCCCCAATCAATACTCTTATAATTTCCTATGCCTGTCTTTACTTTAATCTCTTAATCCCATCATCTTCGTGAGCTGAGGAAGTATGTCACTTCAGGACCCGTGATGATTGCATTAACTGCACAAATTGTTCATAAAGCATGTGTGTTTGAACAATATGAAATTTGGGCACCTTGAAAAAAGAACAGGATAACAGCAATGTTCAGGGAACAAGGGAGATAACCATTAGGTCTGACTGCCCAAGAGCCAGGCAGGACAGAACCATATTTCTCTTATTGCTGAAAATGGGTAAGAGAAATATCTCTGAATTCTTTCCCCAGTAAAGAATATTAATAATTAACAACCCTGGGAAAAGAATGCATTCCCCGTGGGGGTAGTGGGGAGGGGCCTCTAAAATGGCCACTCTGGGAGTGTCTGCCTTATGCAGTTGCAGGTAGGGATGAAACATGCCCTAGTCTCCTGCGCTGCCCCCAGGCTTATTAGGATTAGGAAATTCCTGCCTAATAAATTTTAGTCAGACCAGTTGTCTACTCTCAAACCCTGTGTCCTGATGTTTATGAATGACAATGTGTGCACAGCAGGACAGGGAACCTCAATAGTAATTCTAGTTTCACCCCAGCCTTGTGACCTTGCCTTGCCCATTTGCCTTGTGATATTTGTTGCCCTTGAAGCATGTGATCTCTGTGACCCACACTCTATTTGTACACTCCCTCCACTTTGAAAATTGCTAATAAAAACTTGCTGGTTTTATGGCTCAGGGGGCATCATGGAACCTGCTGACATGTGATGTATCCCCCAGCCACCCCCTTTAAAATTTCTTTCTTTTGTACTCTTTCCCTTTATTTCTCAGACCAGTAGACACTTAGGGAAAACAGAAAAGAACCTATGTTGAAATATTGGGGGCTGGTTCCCCCAATAGTTTTGGACTTTTTTTGAGAATGTATATACATAGAATTTCAGGGATTTCACCAACTTTATGAAACCCATCCATGTGAACCTAAGATAATATCTTCTGTTTAAAGGTAGTAAAAAGAGTGGACTTGTGAGATCATAACACCATAAGTTTGCAATTTGAGGCCATTCAATATGGCTCTGAGATTCTTAGCAGCTGAGTTGAAAAGGGAGGTACATTAATCCAGTTTCAATGTTATTTGAGGGTTTCTATTCATCATAAATATGTGAGTTTTATAGTAATCAGTCTAGCTTATGCTAAAGAAAAGAAAATAGAAAAAGTATAATTGTGTCTTTTAAATAGAGAACAGAGTAAATCCTGGGAAGTC